CCACGACGACCACGAAAGCATCGGTAGTCGTACCTGGCCTGTACGATTAGGCCAATCGATCTCTCGGGGTGCCACGTCAGCTATCCGGATGGACCGCGAATACTGATCACGCACGTGACAAATGTCAATACTTCCATGGACGATTGCCGTCAAGGCGGCGCGTGTCGCTCAAATGCACTTGCACCACAGCCTCGTTCAAAAGCCCGGGCAGATGGCTCTCCGTCGCCTTCTCCGGCTCCTCGCTCAACAAGAGTGGCACCTTGTCCCGCGGATCGCGCTCCTGCCTCCGCCGACCTAGATCAAGGTCAGCACCAGCGCCTACACAACGAAGAAAGTACGACGATTTGATTTAGCGTTGATGTACGTATCTATTTTAATAGACGTCCCACTTCAACAACAACACATCTGTTTCCACTAGAGCATCACATGTCTTGGCGTCTCTAATAACTCGGGTCCAGCTTCAGCGGGCAACACTCGCACACAATAAAACGACTTCGAATTTTTTAACACGTAGCATAATGTATATATCCCCGCGAATACGGCACGATTGGTCAACACGGTGGTGACTACGACGGCGGGCTGTGTTGGCAGCTTGAACGCATGGCTTAGCAAGCCGGCTTCGGGACGGGGGTGCCCTTGATCTTGGGGTACGCCGGGAACTCGGCGACGTTGCACATACCCTTGCCGCCGACACCGCGCTGGAGCTTGACGTAACCCTGTTCGCCCCACTTGGTGCCCCACGAGTTGCGGATCTTGAAGTACTTGACGCCGTTCTCGGCGCCATACCCGAGCGCGACGACGGCGTGGTCCGACTCGTCGCCGGGGCACGTCGTGATGACACCGCTCTTGTAGTACTGCCACGCGTCGTTGCCGGCCTCGACCGCCACCGTCGTCGGTTGCTGCACAATGTCCTTCTCGAGGTTGGCCTCGCCCGGCGTCTCGACGTACGAACCGACTGCGAGAGGCTGCACCGCACATGTCTTGAGGCACTCGCCGTTCTTTTGCGTCGTGCCCGAGGTATACGGGTAGTCCTTGGTGAGGCAGAGACCGCCGTTGGTGCCCGCGATCCAGTTGAGGGCCTCCTCTTCGTCGCCACCTTGGCAACCTCCCTGGTTCTTGGTCTCGCAGCTCACGACCTGCTGCTCCGAGAGGTCAAGGAGCGAGCCGGTCGCAATGCAGTGGGCCGACTCGACGGCGCCCGTGGCCGAGAAGGCCCAGCACGACCCGCACTTGCCCTGGTTCTTGATCGGGTTGACGCATGTCGACGTCGTCCAGTCGACGACGTCCGTGGCCGTCGACGCCGCGAGCGTGGCGTAGTCGACGTCCGCCGAACGGAGCACGCGCTTTCCGCGGTTGAAGGAGCGGCCGAGGAACACCTTGAACTCCTCGTGCGTGTAGAGGGCCATGGGGCCCAGACCAAATGTGGCGCTCGGTTGGGTCGCCGAGAGACCCGCAATCGCCTTGTTGGCTGACGCGAGACGCGTCAGAAGCTCTTCGGTCTGCGACGCGTTGACGCCCGACGGCAAAGACTCGGCGCCAAATTCATGAAGCCATGCGTTGAGCTGCTTTGTGAGCTGCGTGCGCTCGGCCGGCGTAAAGCTGGCCGCGACGGCGGTGGCGGCAAGCGTGGTAAGAAGGATGCGCTGCATGATCGAAGCAAGTTGGAAAATGAGCATTGTTTCTATGCTTGGAGCAAGAGAAGACGTTGGCATGAGGCTGTGTATTCAAGCGCGATTTAAAAGAAAGCTTTTTTACCGAGGGCTTAAGAACACCAAGAGATTGGGCCGTGGGAAAGCTGACTCGGATAAGCAACAGCTGCAGAGAGGCTTGATATCCTATGTTAAAGCACACCACTGAGCGTGAGCTGAGCATCCAACTTCAATCTGGGCTGGCAAGGAAACGAGATATCGCTGGTTGTACGGATATAACTGTACATTGTCCGGTTAAAAACATTATCCGTATAAAGTTCCCTTGTCCAGTTGAAAGCATGACCATTTTGCGAGTGCCATCGAATCACACACGTGAGAGCAGCGCTGTTTATTTAAAGTTAACAAACTAGCAGCTCGGCAAGTGAAACACTCGGCTGAGAGGAGAGAAGAGGAAGAAGAAACAACCACACAAAGGCACACAGAGATGTGTGCAGTCGGGTGGCGGAATCGACGTCAAGCCACGAGAGGCTCCAAATGACCCGACCTGTGATATCGTATATTCCGGGTGCGGCATACAAACTCCAAGACAAACTCCTACAGGGCAAAACCCTCATACTTTATATGAGGGGAAAAGCCTACTGACGGTGGAAACAGCCAATGACGTGGCAGAGGCTGGGAAAACCACCAGAAAGACCAACGAAGACTCTTCGAGTCAGCGATCTCGACGTTTGCAGTTGCGATCTTGACAAAAGTCATACGAGCTGGGCAAGGTAGATCTGATTCGAGAACTGTGCTTGGGTTTGGTTTTACACTGTTCTGAGTCAGTCCAACGATGAAAAGTATCATTCGACGAATGGATACTCGAGGGATTGTTTTTCTGGTTAGATGGCTCTCGGAAGGGCGATGCGGCCCAACCACCCATTTGAATCAAATTCAAAAACGGTACTACGCAATAATGGTCATGCTAATCGCGATGTGGCGTCGATCTGATACGATTCTCAGTTCACATTTCTGGGTCTACAGTCCAGCTCGAAGTCCATAGTTGTGTGACGTTGTTGGAATGAGTCTATTGAGATATTATTTCCTACAGGTTTTCTGTTTTGTCCCACGGTGGCGTTGAGAGGCGCGTGACGAGGTGCGTGTTTTGAGTGATTTATTGTGGGAGGGCTTCCTTCGAGGCTAAGCGAGTTACGGCGCCCTCTTGGCCAATCCCAAACGGGTTTCGGCACGGCGGTTCTTCCGATTGGGTACACCGCGCAGAGGCAGGCGTTCGGCTACTGTACCGGTACTTGAATTTGCATGCGCGCAATAGTTAGTTATGTGACGTGAAACAGACGCTTCGTGATCCTCGCATCGTGCGGCTGACAAGAGTGGGAACGTACTACTTTAGTGAATTCAATCACATATCGCTGGGATTGTAATTGAGAACGTAACAGCATTTAGACGAGTGCCGTAGTAGCTTCTGTAGTTGATGTCGACGCGTCGTTATTTCTGTTCACAGACCTTGCATCAGAGGCACCAAGAGTGATCCTATCAAGAAACTGCAAGACAAGGTGCGATGCTGCGATGCTTTCACAAACCAGGGTTTCGAGAACGCGTTCGTATGTGGGTATGCATGAATGACTCTTGTTTTCTTCTAAAGAACGCGCCGAGCAGCTTCGGCAGCAGCCGCGTGTGACGTTTACCGTGCATCGCTCGCTGAATCGCAGCTCTGGCAACTACACCCCAACTCATGGACTTCCGTGTCCCACTCTCATGTTTACATGGACCACCTCATGCGGTGCTTCTGCAAAATGCAGCTTCCTTTACCAGCGCGATTTACCAATTTAACGACGTTGCTCCCGTCCTTTTTAGTGTCTCGTTCAAGGCACGACTTGGGTGTTTTGAATACCTGTCCGTCCATCAACGCTCAGTGATCAACACCCATTTCTGTGTATGTAGGTCCACCCACCTGTTCGCTCCAGATGTTTGCTCGACAGCGTGAACGGCTGAGTTTTTGGCGAACGTCGTCCCACCGGGAAGCGACAGAGCCCATCTCGACCATCCTTCGCTGGCCTAAGATCTGATACTGGATCGTGGACCCCGAGTCAGCTTGCGCCAACCCAGTTGCTCTGTCTTTCACACGGATTCGATGGCGCTCCAAAATTAGTCTCATGCTCACTTTCCAACTTGCTTCGATCATGCAGCGCATCCTTCTCGCCACGCTTGCCGCCACCGCCGTCTCGGCCAGCTTTACGCCGGCCGAGCGCACGCAGCTCACAACGCCGCTCAACGCATGGCTTCATGAATTTGGCGCCGAGTCTTTGCCGTCGGGCGTCAACGCGTCGCAGACCGAAGAGCTTCTGACGCGTCTCGCGTCGGCCAACAAGGCGATTGCGGGTCTCTCGGCGACCCAACCGAGCGCCACGTTTGGTCTGGGCCCCATGGCCCTCTACACGCACGAGGAGTTCAAGGTGTTCCTCGGCCGTTCGTTCAAGCGCGGAAAGCGCGTGCTCCGTTCGGCGGACGTCGACTACGCCACGCTCGCGGCGTCAACGGCCACGGACGTCGTCGACTGGACGACGTCGACATGCGTCAACCCGATCAAGAACCAGGGCAAGTGCGGGTCGTGCTGGGCCTTCTCGGCCACGGGTGCCGTCGAGTCGGCCCACTGCATTGCGACCGGCTCGCTCCTTGACCTCTCGGAGCAGCAGGTCGTGAGCTGTGAGACCAAGAACCAGTTCGGTTGCCAAGGTGGCTACGAAGCGGAGGCCCTCAACTGGATCGCGGGCACCAACGGCGGTCTCTGCCTCACCAAGGACTACCCGTATACCTCGGGCACGACGCAAAAGAACGGCGAGTGCCTCAAGACATGTGCGGTGCAGCCTCTCGCAGTCGGTTCGTACGTCGAGACACCGGGCGAGGCCAACCTCGAGAAGGCCATTGTGCAGCAACCGACGACGGTGGCGGTCGAGGCCGGCAACGACGCGTGGCAGTACTACAAGAGCGGTGTCATC